GTCCTTACATCTTAAAAATGCTCTTCATGTTCCTAAACTCTTCACGAATCTTCTTTCTATTCATAAAATTACAAAAGATTTGCATTGTACTGTAACCTTCTTCCCTACTCACTGTGTTTTTCAGGATCTCGCCACGGGGAAGACGATTGGTAGTGCTAAAGAGCAAGGTGGGCTGTACTATCTGGTGTCACAATCTCCCACCAATAAAGTAACGGATCACATCTTGCTGTCTCATGGTCAATCAACTGCTAATTCCTTGATTTGGCTTCATCAAGCGCTTGAGACATCCTCCATTTAGTTTACTCAAGTCTTTATTTCTATCATTGTTTTTGTCTAAGTCTGTTGAGTCTTTTCATTGTGATGTTTGTGAGTTTGCTAAGCATCATCGTGTGTCTTTTCCTTCTAGTATTACTAAAAGTATTGAACCTTTTGGTCTTATTCATTCTGATGTTTGGGGTCCTTCTAAGATCCCTCATTCTTCTGGAAATAAATGGTTTGTTTCTTTTATTGATGATTGCACTCGTGTAACTTGGGTTTACTTAATGCGTGAAAAGTCTGAGGTACCACAAATATTTTTTCAATTTTATAAAATGGTTGAGACCCAATTTGGTAAAAAAATCAAGCGACTAAGGACTGATAATGGTACTGAATATGTTAATCACTGTTTTTCCCAGTTTATACGAAATAACGGTATGCTTCATGAACTTACTTGTGTTGACACCCCTCAACAGAATGGGGTTGCTGAAAGAAAGAATCGTAACCTTCTTGAAGTGGCTCGTGCATTAATGTTTCAGACACATGTACCCAAATACTATTGGGGAGATGCCATTCTTACTGCAGCATTCTTGATCAACCGTTATGAGTCTATAACTTCAAGAAGGTGACGATTCTTTTTTCCCTTCTATTCCAACTATGAGTCTTCCTCCACGAGTGTTTGGGTGTGTTGCTTTTGTTCATGTTCCTAAACATCATCGCAGTAAGTTGGACCCTAGGGCTCTTAAATGTGTCTTCCTTGGTTATGTTCCTGATAAGAAGGGCTACAAGTGTTATCACCCTGGTAGTCGGAAATTTTTTGTTTCTATGGATGTTACATTTCAGGAATCTGAGTCCTTTTTTTGAAAAGTCGCCGGAAAGTGGTCCAAACGGTGAAGACAGATCTGGTTGGAGGCGGTCGGAGGTGTTTGGGTCGTTTGTGGCGGAGGAACAGTGCGTAGAATGATAAAACGGAGAAAAAGAAGGTCAACAGTGGTCCCCTTGGTCAAATAGGTCCCTGGAAAAAAAAATTCCGGTTGCGGCTGATGGCGGCAAGAGGCAAAGAAATTAGGGTTTTGTTCAAAAAAGACAATAGGCGCGGAAGCAGAGCCCTCATGATCGAGAGCTCTGATACCAACTTGAAAAAGAGTTATAAGATATTGTTGAATTGTGTGAATAATCTGTACAAAGAGGTCTCTATTTATAGAGAATAAAAGACCTAATTCTTGACCTAATGGGCTTGGCCCAATACAACAAATAATAATAATTAAGTAAATAACTAATATTTACAACAAACAATTATGGAGTTTGTAGTCAACCATGGTTCAGATTGTGATATGATACCATAAAGAAAGATTGTATTTTACTTGTTCTGTAGATTACAAAATGGCAGCTTAAATATGGAATTGGGTAGAAGCTGTACAGTAAAGGCTGAACACTAATCTAGATCTAAAGCATAGGAGCTAATATCTACACCTAGCTGTACATAAAACACAGAGTCAGAAGATCCTGTCTGTTGAAGAAAATCAACCATAAAATCAGGAACCTGTTTGTTCCTTAAAAGCAGGCTGAAAATCAGGAACTTATCACCAACAATTCCCTTATCTCCTAAATAATCCTTTATGTTGGGTGTTGAAATTCTTTCATGTCTATTACTATGATTGGGGACATTGACCCTTTTGCCACTGTTTGGAGTACTATTTATCACTATGCCACTATCCACTGAAATTTTCTCAAAATACGACGTCACATTCTCGCTACGCCAACAAGCGAGACTGGATTGGACACGTGGCAATGTCTTGCAGGCCACAAATCTCACCCAGCAGTGTAGCGAGATTCATGGTCAATGTGGCAGACTGCCATATATGCAAAAAGTTGTCCACTTGGCTAATCTCGTTGGGCTGCCCAGCGAGATTAGGTGTACCTTTTCCACGTGTCAGCACCCTGCGTATCTCGCCGGGCTGCTGACTGAGTTTATCTGAGATGTTTCTATCTGTCAGCACCCTGGGGTATCTCAGTTGGGCTGCTGGTCGAGTTTGGTTAAGATATTTCCACGTGTCGGCACCCTGGCCTATCTCGTTGGGCTGCTAACCGATTTTGATAGTTCTATATATAGTAACTAAACCACCACATTCCCAGCAGCAACAAATCGTTAGTGCTCTTTTATTTGTTTCTACTTCAGGTCAGATTTTGTAATTGTTTCTTTCTGTTGTAGTTTTATGTTATTATTTTCAAAATGAGTGATGGTAATGATTCAGTAATTCTCCCCTTTTACCACGGCGAATGCAAGTGGTAACACATAATTGTTTCCATCCTCAGTAGAGTCAATTAATAGGGTCCCCCGATATTTACCATATAAGTACGTACCACCACTACCACATTTTGATAATTACTGAATCATTACCATCACTCATTTTGAAAATAATAACATAAAACTACAATAGAAAGAAACAATTACAAAATCTAACCTGAAGTAGAAACAAATAAAAGAGCACCGACAATTTGTTGCTGCTGGGAATGTGGTGGTTTAGTTACTATATATAGAACTATCGAAATCAGTTAGCAGCCCAATAAGATAGGCCAGAGTGCTGACATGTGGAAATATCTGAACCAAACTCGGCCAGCAGCCCAACGAGATACCCCAGGGTGATGACACGTGGAAACATCTCAGATAAACTCGGTCAAAAGCCCAGTGAGATACGCAAGGTGTTGAGACGTGGAAAAGGTACACCTAATCTCAGATTAGCCAGGTGGATAGCTTTTTGCAGATGTGGCAGTCTGCCACATTGACCATGAATCTCGCTACACTGCTGGGTGAGATTTGTGGCCTGCAAGACACTGCCACGTGTCCAATCCAATCTCACTTGTTAGCGTAGCGAGAATGTGACGTGGCATTTTGGAAAAATTTCACTGGATCGTGGCATAGTGATAAATAGTACTCCAAACAGTGGCAAAAGGGTCAATGTCCCCTATGATTGCTTTGTGCAAAATGGAATTCACTTGGTCTGGGCTATTATCGTTAATTCATATCCAACTTAGTAAACTAGATCTTAGGCTGGGACAATTTTAATTGTTTTTGGTGAAAATGTACTGGAACTGTGTAATCTGCATATTTTCATTTTGACTCTGGTAGGGGCTTATTTAGGCCAGACACTTAAATCATATAGGATATACATGTTTGATATGTTTCAGTACAAAGTTGTTGATATATACTTGTAGCAGAATTTTTGTAAAATCTATGCAGTAAAAGATTATTTTTCTTTGCAGAGTTGGTGCTTGTTTCAAAGTTGTATTGTATGAATAAACTACATTCACACAAAAAGAAAAAATTCTTGTAGTACTACTGTTAGTTATTTGCTTTTATATGCACTGTACAATTTGTTGGCTCATCCTGGGAACTAAATTATACTACTCATGAGCAGTGGTGGACTTTAGCAGTGAAACCCCGAAAGTTATCAAATTAGAAGAAAAAAATGTGAAATAGACCATAAGGCCAAACCCAAACAAAGTAATTGTTAGAGAAATATAATACAAAACTATAAAGAACCATTTCAATAAAAAAATTTAAACTGTTAGGTGAATGTTACATTAATGATTTTATATTATATCTCTTTAACACGCCTCCTCACATAAGAGCCCACTGGGCTTAAAGAGTGAACAATGCACAGGCTCCAGCTACCTGTGCTAGAAATTCCACAATATTTAATTATCTATTAATAGAATGAAAGGCGGTGTGATCGAACTTATGACCACTTGATCATGGAGGTTCTGATATCAAGTTAAGAATCATTTCAACCCATAAGTTTAAATTGTTAGGTGAATGTTACATTAATAGTCTTATATAATATATCTCTAACAAATACCATTAATATGTATTTCACCTTAACAGCCTAAGTTTCTGGGTTGAATTGACGTTTTACATGGTACCCGAGTTTGTATGACGAAGTGGTCACAAATTGATTCTCACTGCTCTCTTTCTATTAATAAATAATTAAATATGTTAAAATTTCTTAATACGAGTAGATGAGCATGTGCATTGTCCACTCTTTAAGGCCAACATGCTCTTGTTTGTGGAGGCATGGTAGAGAAATATATTAGATTGATTAATTCCAAACTCTGATTTACACCTTACACACCTGGTTGAATGGTTGATTACTGGGTTGCCTGTGGCTGTCATCTGACTGTAGCTAGGCTAGTTCCATTTAGGATTGCTTCTATTTTTAACTTGAAGTACATACAATATATATGATTTTTCCATGTCTATACAATTGATGAACTTTGCTCTGTCTAGAGTCATTGGGTGAGATTTAGTTATCCTATAGATTTTAACCTTAGACTCATGCATATCCTCCGAGAATATGTTCCTTTAAGCACTATGATAGTACAAATGACAAACTAATTATACATACTACGGTCTTGGAAGCGAGTTTCGTAGATGACAATAGTTTATGTGCTTCTGGATATCTATTATACCCTATCCATTTAGTGTTACATAGCAGCATTTAGGAATGTGCATAGTTGAATTCTGTTTGGGAAAATAAAAACTTGAACAGAGTTGTTACAGTTTGGATCCCAATCTGTCATGAATGTGAAGTGTATATTTCTCCAAGCATATCTGGGAATTTAGAGGCGTATATTGAGCTTTTAAGGCAGTGTAAACATCTTCGCTTATTTGATAATGAAAGGCATCCTTGTCAAATGGTAATTTTGGTGTTAATTGTATTTGATTACTATTATGTGTGCTTCAGGTTCCTTCTCACATCATGCTTGGAATTCCAAAGCACGAGGAGGCTCCAGCAATCCCCCAACGCCCGCTATCAGCGATGGGTGAGGCTTGTTCAAGAATGGACCTCACTGCAATACATCAGATATTGGTTGCAACACACTACAGAGATGATGAAGGAACTAATGAGGTAATTGATTGGGGGAATAGTTTTAAATCTGCTACTTTTGGTTGGACGCTAAGCTATATTTAAGTTTTGAAATTGGATTGGTTCAGTTGTCTTTCCAAGAGTGGACACAACAGATGAGAGATATGCTGGAGGCTAGGAAGCGGGGAGACTACGCATTCCGCGACAAGGATTTTAAGACAGCCATTGATAATTATTCGCAGGTGCAATTCAGCAATCGTTTTGAAAGTGTAAATGATGGGTAGCTTAACTTTGGTACATGCTGGTTATTTTATAGATGCATTTGCTATGTGTTATTGTGCAGTTTATTGATGTGGGGACGATGGTCTCTCCAACTGTTTTTGCTCGGCGCAGTCTATGCTATCTGTTATGTGATCAAGCAGATCCTGCTCTTCGAGATGCAATGCAAGCACAGTGTGTTTATCCAGATTGGCCCACGGCTTTCTACATGCAATCAGTTGCTCTTGCAAAGCTGGACATGCACAAGGATGCGGCTGATATGTTAAATGAGGCAGCTGCATTGGAAGAGAAGAGGCAACGTGGAGGAAGAGGAGGATCATAGACATACTTGTATAAAAGTTGAGCTGGGAATCTGAAATTACTTATGAATCTAAAAAATCTCATCACTGCTGGAGTAGATAGCACATGCATTTTGTTCCACCAAGCTACTCTAGGAAGGGAGTATTGGTGATTTTTCCATCGTCAATCAAATTGATTATTTGACGTCTAATTGGTCACTATCAGGATCCAAGTGTTGACCAAGATATTCTAGCTCCAAACAAGTCAAGGCTTAGTATATTTAATATAAATTTGTAGTATATTGTAGTGGCATGATATACATGGACTAATACATAGCATACTCATTCTTATTAATATAAATTTCGTTTATTTTTCCTTGATTGGTATCCCTGAATCTAAAATCTGTGCAATTGATGGCGCAAGTAGTAGGGGGAAATAATTTTTTTTATTAAATTTATCTTGCAAAATATCTAGTTAATTGCCTTGTAAAAGTTATTATCTCGTTCACTTGTTGGTAAAGGTTTCTCATTTAATTTTTCCTTTCCCTTTCTAAGGACATTATGCTTCAATTTAATTTACTTCAGTTAATGAACATCATAATCAATGCATCTTAAATTATAGGTGTAATTATTTTAAGGTGCCACAAATGTTGCACGGTCTTGCAACTTGCAAGTGTTTTTCCCCGTCGTATATTAATTATGACGTAACAATATAATAAAAATTCAAAACATTGGTTTAAAATGTTGTTTTATTTAAAATCGTATTGGTAAGCTTTTAGATTGCCTTGTTTTAAATAATAACCTTTAATAAACAAAGAATTTAAATATGATTATTATAATGACAAAAGAGGTTCTTTTTATGAATAAAAAAGAGGTTATTTGGTTTACCAAAAGACGTTATTTTGATTAATGGGAAGACATGGTGATCATGAGCAACATAATTTCATCAAGGACACAAAATGGAAGCATTACAAGGCAAAACAGAGAACAGAATCGGAAAGAATAACTTTATCCTACTTTTTGGAGTTTCCACCATGTTAAAAAAAGTTATATTAAAGTAATAATATATAATATTAAAAAATAAGATATTTTTTTTTAGTTAAATCATTTTCTTATCTTACCAAAAATAAAATAAAAAAATCTTTTAATAATGTGTTATCAGATAAGTGGGTTTCACATCATGCTTTAATTCAAAAAATTTATGTGTTAAATTGAATCGATGCAAGATTTATATATATATATATATATATATATATATATATATAAATAATCTCCTCTTACCATCTTATTCTCAAAATACGACCGTTAAAATTAGCTTTTAGTTAAAACAGCCATATATTTGAATTTTTAATCATCTCGTCTCGTGTGTAAATATTAATATTCTTCCTCCACTTGTTATGACTTCTGATAGACAGGGAGCCCCAACAGAAAAAACCAATCAACAATAATGGCTTGTTTGGTGTGATATATAAGGCTTAATAGTATAAGTTTATACTATATTTTATGATATTTTCAGTTATTTGGTGTGACCATCATATAGTATAAACTTATACAGCAGGACTTTTTTATACATCAAAATGATGTATAACTTAATTCAGCCTATGAGTGGTAGATTAGACCTGATAAGAGGTTGATGTATTAATATTGCTTACAAGTACAATTTTCAAGAACTAATATATCATTTCAATATTTATATATTAAAATAATTTTTTTAATATATTAATTTTTAAAATATTGGAAGATATTATTTTATACAATAGCGTACCAAATGGTGGACAGTATTAAAATTTAATCAGGTCTTATACTATCAGATCTTATCATATATTATGCACCAAACATGCCCTAAATTAAGTAACCTAAACAACAAGAAATAAACTCCACGTTATATCTTGGAACAGTAACCATTTTGTCACGTTTGGCCAAAAAATTTACCAAACTGTCACGTCAACAATAAATTTTGCCAAAATATCACGCGGCATATTTCTACACTGTGTAGCGAAATATGTTTGCAAGTAATTCGCTACACAGTGTAGCGAAATATGCCATGTCAGTCTGCACAGTCAGCAAAAATGACACGTGTCAAGTAGGCTGAAATTCGCTATACTGTGTAGCGAATTATGCTTGAATTCTGCCTGCTTGACATGTGTCATTTTTTTGTTGACTGTGCATCCTGACATGACATATTTTATTACATTGTGTAACGAATTACTTGCAAACATATTTCACTATACAATATAACAAAATATGCCGCGTGATATTTTGACAAAATTTACTGTTGACATGAACATGTGATAAATTTTTTTTTGCCTAATATGATAAAATGGTGACTCTTCCTTATATCTCAACAAAAAGTTAAGACATTAGGTATAAGGTTCTTTCCCTTGTACAGTCTTCATTCCACTTCCACAAAGGAAAATGGGATAGCATCATAGCAGTAGGAGTAGGACCCACTGAAAAGGATATTTATTGGGGTAGGTAGCCCTTTGATGTTATGTACAAGTGTACAACAGCCATTACCTTTGTTTGTTAGGTCATAAATGATAGAACCGGGTCAAGTGCGATGCATCGTTGAGTAACTTTACCATGCTCACCACACCATTTCCACACAATCATTTACTCTAATATCTTAAGAATATGAAAAATTGCTAATGCTACAAATGTATTTTTATAAAATGAATTAAAAAAGAAATGAAAATATTATTTTTTTATTAATTAATTATATTCTTAACTATAATTAATTACGAAGCGTTTAAATTTTTTTATAACAAATAAAAAAAAATATGTGTCATTTTAAAGTATGTAAAATTGTGTCATTTTAAGAGAGAGAAAAAGATCAATAAAAAAGGAGAGAGAATTGATAAAAAAATAAAAGTGTGGATCCTATCTTTTTTGTGAGAGTGAAAGGATATAAGTTATATCGTTTAAAAGGATAAATACTTTCGGCGCATGAGAGCTAAGCAGGTGGGGGTGAGAGCATGTGTTTGAATCTCTTCAGTACCACCTTTGGGAGAAGTTTAAAGTCTTAATCCTGAACCCGCCCCGAATTGAATTAGCTGCGAAGTAATAAACCGATTAGAATATTTAAAAAAAAAAAAAGATAAACACTTTTTCGAACAAATAATATAAGTGTTCAAGATTTTAACAAGTTCCATATAATAATACCAATTACCCCTCCTTATTACAAAAAATAAAAAAAATAATACCAATTACCAAACAGGTTTTCAAAAAGACACAACGATTCGTGGCATATTCGAACTTCGAAGGTGATAATAATCATGACATGCAAATAAAGTGAAGTGACAGTCTCTCACTAGTTGTCTCTAATCTATTACTAAGAATAAATATAATTAACTTATTTAAGTGTATCAAATATAAATCACGCGAATGGTAGTTTGGTTACTTTTTAACAAATAAGAAGTTAATAAATGAGATTATTCATAAGTGAAAAAAAAGTTGAAGAGTGTGTTTGTAAATACTAAAAATAAACAAATAAAGGTTATGTTCACTTTTAAGTTTAATTTCGAAGAAGAATGGTAAATATAATTTAGAAAAAATATTTGCCCTTTTTTGAATAATATAACTTGTCATTTTACTCTCGCATAGAGATTAGATCCATATTTTAATTTTTTTTTCCATTCTCTTCTCAAAATTTATTTATTTATTTCATTTAAAAGATATAATTTTACATCATTTAAAATGACATACACTTTTTTCATATAATTTACTTAAAAAGTTCTTAATTATTTTAAGGAAATTTTTTTTGTCATTTTAAATGACACAACTTGTGTCATTCCACTCTTTTCTCTTTTATCTATCTCTTTCTCTTGCTTAAAATAACATAACTTTACGTCCATGGAAATTATACACATTTTTTCTTTATTTTAATTATGAGAAAGGTTATACTTACAACCATTTTTTTATAACCTCTTACAACTATATCTTAACACCGTTGATTCCTGCCAATCAACGATTATGATTTTTATAAATTAAATTCATTAATTAATTATTAATTCTGAATAAATGATAACTGTTAATTAACGAAAATCAAAAATGTTAAAATATAGTTGTAAGAAGTTGTAAAAAAAAAAAAAAAATTATAAGTATAATTTTCCTGTTTAATTATTATCATTTTATAGACTTGCTGCGTCTGACAACCCATCCTTTTTTAGTGGGTTACGTGTAGATATCAAATTGGACCGACCCACTGTACGTAGACGTGAGGCTCTGCACTTGTACAATAATAAATGTATCATTTTTATATTTCATAAGGATAAACGTTACATTCAATACAAATAAAAAAGTATTAATATTTTGTACGTTGCAAGGAAAAATCATATATCCTGTATATATAAATGTGTAGAATCAATTTGAAAAGAAGAAAAAATAAAATAAAATATAGATTTTATATTATTTATATATATATAACAGATAAAAATATTTTTTATATATAAGAAATACTAACCCCAATAAAAAAATACAGAAAAACAACATTGTAAATGTAATAAGAAGAGGAAATAACTTAATCAGTCTTTAAAAAAATAGGACTGATTATATTAACATTTAAAAATAAAAGCTATAACAGAAATTTTGTAAAATATGTGTTTTTTATTATATTAATGATATTAATTTAAGCTAATCGAAGGATATATATATATATATATATATATATATATATATATAAATTCATTGACAATTTTTATTTTATAAATTAATAAAATGATGTTATATTTTTAAAAATTAAATTAGAATTTACTCTACATAAGAGTGTTTATGAAGATCATGCTGAGCATGTTTGATACAGAATATAGTATTTTCAGTAATTCATTTATTACACTAGAAGAAAAATATAATTATTTTATTATTTTATTAAGTATTAATTATTGAAAAATGAAATATTATATTATTATTATTATTATTATTATTTTTTCATCAATTCTTATTAGATTAATCTTAAAATTCTAATACAATTGCGTGATTGAGAAGTTTATATTAGAAAAATAGAAAAACTGACACAATTTTGTTAGATCTGAGATTAGTCATTAGATGTCTTTTTTTGTCTTTAATTATTGTGAGACTAATCTCTCGAGTTATAGAGTGGTAGTTGGATAATTTTTTTTATAAAATGATTACTCAAGATTCAAACTCCTGATATTTATGAATAATTTTTTTTTTCATATGACGTTTCATTTTTATTATACTAAATCATTATTGAGTCTTATTAGATGAAATAAAAGTAATAAGCACACCACTTATATATGAAATATTTAAGAAAAAGGTTAACTGATCTGAATGTATTGGAGAGGAAAAAGCCCATGTTCATACAGGCCCTTAGTTATGAGTTATTTAGAACAGTATTTTAACAAAAATTTTAAACCAAATAACATTGTTGAATATAGAATGCATGTCAACTTATTTTGTAAGAAAAAAAAAAATCGCTTTCTGACTTTTTTTTGAGAAAAAATAACTGTGAGATAAGATCGGAATCCGATAAAGCAAACTTCTGAGTTCTGACCCCACATTTGCGAAGCCGCCTATCTGGGGCCCATGTGCTATTATTTAGGTCTATTTTATTTTATTTATAAGATCTATATTAATCTTTTCAAACATCTTCCGTACGATTAATATGAATTAACTTGTGTTTCTTTCAATGTACTTTATGTGATTTGAAACGCAATTTTCAAAATGAAAGAAATAAAGAAATGATGAGATAGCATTTTCCTGATCTAAATCCTTGTTGGGCAACACAGTAATCAGTGGCATCTTTAGCGATAGTTTAACATAATTATTATAAGGGTATGTTTTCTCACGTTACATAAGATAACATATTCTTCCTACTCATACATCAAAAATTGTGCTAACATTTATTTATTTATTTTAAAGAATAGATCCCACGTACACAAGATAACAAGTCTCTTACAACAACGCGAGAATTGTATTTCTCTTGTTATAATTGTAACGATGTTGTTTCAGGATATTTGAAAAGTGTGAGTAACGAGAGAGGAAAATAAAAGGCATTAGCCGCCCCACTTGACAAGTCTCCAAAGTAATAAAATTATATATGAATAATATTTATATTAAGAGAGGACAAATTATGAGCATATATAGATAGATTTGGGTGGGAGTAGAGAGTAGGAAATGAATATGAATATGAATATGAAGATGGGGTTGAGATGGTTGGGAATAGTAGTGTCAATGTGGTTTATAGGAGGAAGCATGGCGGAGCAATGTGGAAGACAAGCAGGTGGTGCTGTGTGCCCTGGGGGTTTATGTTGCAGCCAATTCGGGTGGTGTGGCTCAACCAGTGACTACTGCGGCACCGGATGCCAAAGCCAATGTGGAGGAAGTGGTGGTGGTGACCTCGGGAGCATAATATCGAGGGACAAATTCAACCAGATGCTGAAACACAGGGATGATGGTGGGTGCCAAGGGAAAGGGTTTTACACCTACGATGCTTTCATTACAGCTGCCAAGTCTTTCCCCAACTTCGGTAAAACCGGCGATACTCCCACTCGCAAGAGGGAGATTGCTGCTTTCTTCGGCCAAACTTCCCACGAAACTACTGGTCTCTCTCTGTCTCTGCCTGCTTAATTATATATATACATATATATATATATATATATATATTCGATTTCTCATCTATTTTTCATTATATATACTGTTACTGTATGACATATTAACATGACATATGATACAAATAATTGATTGATTTAATTGATGATATGATAATAATAATAACAGGGGGGTGGGCAAGTGCACCGGATGGACCATACGCTTGGGGATACTGCTTTGTTAGGGAACAAAATCCAAGTGCGTATTGTGCGTCGAGCGCCGAATTCCCTTGTGCTCCTGGGAAGCAATACTATGGTCGAGGTCCCATCCAAATATCATGGAACTACAACTACGGACAGTGTGGAAGAGCAATAGGTGCGGACTTGCTGAACAACCCAGACCTCGTCGCCACTGATCCCATCATCTCCTTCAAGACGGCCATATGGTTCTGGATGACGCCACAGTCACCCAAGCCATCCTGCCATGACGTCATCACCGGAATATGGAAGCCGTCGGATGCTGATAGGGCGGCAGGGAGGCTTCCTGGGTACGGAATGATAACAAATATAATAAATGGTGGACTCGAATGCGGTAAAGGACAGGATAGCAGAGTGCAGGATCGCATCGGATTTTACAAGAGATACTGTGATTTGCTCGGCGTCGGCTATGGCGACAACCTTGACTGTTCTGCTCAGAGGCCATTTAACTCTTTGCTTCTTCAATTAATGGTCGACACCATCTGATCCCATCCAGCTGTGACTGTGACTGTGACTGTGATGTTTTCTCATCTGCATGTCAAGAGAAAACACACTTTAGAAATAAAATGAAACCTGGACTGGTCCACTACCTATGCAGACTAAACACGCTTTGTCTTGCATTTCTTCAACACCATTAATTACATTAATTCATCACACGATATGACGTACGTTACCCTCTTAAGTTTTAACCAACCAACCACCACCACTATCATTCTCTTAAATTATCATCTCATGTGCCGTTCGGTTCGCATATGTCATACAAATAAATTTCGCTGAAAATTGTGGCCGATATATCATGTTTCATTTCGAACTTTTATATTGCTACTAGGTCCTGTCACGTGAAATATAGATAGATAGACAGACATTAAATGTGGAATCTTTCGCTCAGATTTTTTATTTATTATTTTTTACACATTAAATAAATTAAACTTTAATATAATTTGTGAAATTTTTTCAAAAGAAATCTATAAATATATAATATTTCTTACAAAGTTTTAATACAACTGTTTATCCGGAGGTCAAATTTAAGACCACATTTATTTTAGACACAATTTTTATATAAATATTATCATATAAAATTTTAATTTGAGAGAATCTATTTTTAATTATAAACATGGGAGAGATTAACTTATATCAATTATTAGTTGTTGATCCTACTTGTACAAAAATATTTTTCCTCTACCAAATGCCCTTTAAGGAAATTTTGAGCATGTTTGATTATGTTCTTTTTTTATTGTTGAAATTGTTTTGTAGAATAATTAATGAAATAGGTATTTTGTGTATTTTTTGTTTTTGTTTTGAGAGTTAAAAGTGAAAATACAAAATAAAAACAACTTAGATATGAAGTTTGTTGGACAATGTTCTGTTTTTTTTTCTTAAAACAATTTTGTAGAATAGTCAATAAAATATATATTTTTTGTTTTTATTTTGAAAGTTAAAAGTTAAAATACAAAACAAAAATAAATCAAATATATTCTCTAAATTTGATTCTAAAAACAAAACAGATATAATTTTTTTTACAGAACGAACCTTATCAAATATGTTTTTTTTTTTTTTTTTTTATTCAGAAAATAAAAAATATTTTTGAAAACAAAATTAAAACAAGCTCAAATCTCCAAGACTTTTGATCGAATATGCTTGTATGCTTTAGGAGACATCTGTTCAAGTTCAACAATAATTACCATGATTATACAATAAGCCCCTTTTTGGTCATGCCATTGACTATGGACTAGGGAAATACATCCACATAACAATTGTTAGGCATAAAACTATGAATTTGTTTTCTTTAAAGTTACTTTAGATAATTTTATTCTAAACTATGGATTATAATAATCTTTATCATTTTAATTTTATAATTTTTCAACTCCAAAACGACGTCGTTTTGATGAACATTAGATAAAGTTGTCTAAAGTAACAATAGATTTTTTTTCCCTAAAACTATTTATTCATTTTCAACTCATAACTTGAACTTTTCATGACAATTGATTCATATCATGATATAGGAGGATACTGGTTTATAGCACAAAGTTGAAATGGAAAGTATATTTACTATGCATGTATATAGAGAGACTCGTACACATAATATAATGCTTTGCTATCGTTGTGATCCTACCCGGCTGTGACTCTGGAGAAATCTAAAACAATAAAAAAGATAGAGTTCGTTTGTCTTTCCCATGACCAACACAAAGCATCAGTTCTAAGGGGTCCCAACTTCCTCGCGGGCAATCAAGAAAGAAAGGCGTGAGTACAATTAGCAGCTGTTCCCTCTCAAAACTAGCTCTCATGTATAGTATAGAGTTAATTAAAAAGTTCTGCATCCAATCTGAGATGCGACTGTAAAAAATTCCAAGTTGGAATCATGTGTGCGAATGCAGGTCAAGTTCTGTTGGGAGAATAAAATCATATGGACAAACATTTTACAAGCTCTGCACTATATTGAAACTTCCATTATATGCCTACCAAAATTGAAAGAAAATTCTATACTTTAGCCTCCGTCCCTCCTAGTTGTGACGTACTGACGTAGTCTCGAACAACAAAGAATCAATATTTTCTGCTCCTTTAGCATAAAAATATTTGCCAAGTGTATTTGAATTCAGTTTCCTTTTTCACATAGAGTAGCTATAAGCTCTGACTGAGCCTTCTCGAGGGCACTTGCCAAATTTTCAGGCTTCTTCCCACCAGCCTGAGCAAAATTGGGCCTTCCACCCCCTCCGCCACCACATAATTTTGCTATCTGTCCAATGAACTTACCTGCGTGAATCCCCTGATCAACCACCCCTGGAGTAAAAGCAGCCACCAGACTAACCTTCCCTTCACCTGGACATGAGCCCAGTAAAACAGCTGCTGGATCTGTTAGGGTTTCCATTAAATATTCTGCGGCACTTTTAAGTGACTCAGCATCAACTTCATCAAAGCACTCAACTAGTACCCTGGAAAGTTTAAACAATCAATAAATAAAAATTATACATCAACTCAACGATCGATAAATTTTCAAATATCATTTTTTCTATCTCCGAGTCTCAAGTTTAAACAAGATATAGAAATATATATACAAAGGACATCCCCTCAAGTTCTAGTTATTTCAGTAGCATTAACCAGAAAATATATTCAAGGGACTATTAAATTATGTGATGCAACATATCTGCTTCTTAATTGTCAGATTTCTTTGGTTATGACATGAAAAACTTTGAAGTGAGAAAAAAGTTGAAAAACTTTTATATCAAAGAAACATCTTTCACCTTTTTCCCGAGCTATATACAAAATTGTTAGTACCTCAATATCACTGAATTATTTGATCAGGAAATTGCTAACAGGAAAGATATCCCTCTCCCCCTTATTATAGCAACAAATACTAACAAATGGAGAAATATTACCTGTACTGTTTTGAATTTCCCACCAACAACGCTTTGCTTGCAATTACTGAAGCTTTGTAGACTGCTGCTTTTGCACGCACACCAGAATTTTCATTTCTTACTAACCGTAACTCCTCTAAAAGGTTTTCTATCCTTGTCGTCACTTCTTCAGGTTTAACCTTCATAAGGGGATATTAATTATAAAACGTTAAGACATGCAAAATTAAAATTACAGAGCATACAGCATATTTGATTAAAAGTGCTTGAAGGAAAGAAATGGTGCCATATGCAATAAATGACCAAGTCAAAAATGCTCATGGAATTTCTATTTTATTAAGATTTAGATTAAAGATTATAGACACAGAGAAAATACTCTTTAAGTATTTGAGCAACATATGCAACAAGGAATGTATGAGCACCACCAAAAATTAAGAAAGCTCCATTCTCTGATATGTTTATTCCATTGAAATCCTCGTAAGGCATAAAGCAAATAAAAATCCCAAAGTAGGTATTTTCATGGCTCGTGGAGAACCCTTCCAGACTATGATTAATGCCCATCTTCTGCAAAGTAATTATATAGGATGGTTTGTTCTCTCATCCCTAATTCTGTTGTACCCAATCGGAAAAAATAAAATAAAAAATAAGGGTGTAAGGAAAACAAAGGGATGCCTATGTGTACAAATTATATAATTAAGGACTGATCAAGAAACATACTTTGAGAGTGGAACATAGCTGCTTCAGATAAAAATCTCGGGCATCGACATATTCAATGAAAGCTTCCCCAGCTACAGCTTCTATGCGTCTGATTCCAGATGCAATACCCTGCTCTGAGATTATTTTAAAACCACGAATCTCAGAAGTATTACTGACATGAGTCCCACCACAAAGTTCCATCGATACACCAGGAACCTCTACAACACGTACCTGCAGGACATCAAATTTGAGAACCACAAGAATCTACATAAGCATCATATAACCTAGTTAAATACTGACAAAAAAGGCAAACCCTAATGCACAAGGCTCCCCAATTTACGAGGGTAGATGTGAGGGTCAATTGTACGCAACCTTACCCTTGCATTTTTGCAAAGAGACTGTTTCCCATACTCGAACGATAAAAATTTAAATATACCCTTACTCATTTCCCTGGTTATTCAGAGGTAGAAATATACACGTGTACAATCTAGAACATATAACCTTACTCTGTTGTAGAAGTGATGATAGGCCATTAGGATTTAAACTTTATTAATACAGTTTCATTGTTTTATGTGACAATATGCTCTCTTAAAAGGTTTTTCAGAATCTAATATATCACTATGCTGTACATTATTCACTACAGTGGTCCATTTGCAAGTGCATTTATAAGAGAGGAAGGATAACTATTGGTATATCAGAAATGATAATTGTAATTGGATCTATTTTAAATTTTTCCAATTTTTTTGGTATGATTAGCAATCTAATAATGGTAAAAAGGAAATTTAGGTCAGAAGAAATGGCGATTGCAGAGCATTAGTTGCAAATCATCCCTGAAAGTCTAGGTTTTGTCCTCTTTTGAAATACACACAGTTCATGATACATGTAACCTACAGCTTAGAACTATCAAGAGTGTTTGCAGTAAATCCAACCTCTTCTCCATATTTTTCTCCAAACATTGCAATAGCTCCAGCTCTTTTGGCATCAGGAAGAGGCATCACTTTGGTTTGAAGAAGAACCGCATCCTCAATCCATCCATTGATTAGCCCTTCAATATCTGCAAGCTCACTGTCAAGAAGAGGTCGGTGGAAGTTGAAATCAAACCTGAGTCGATCGAATGCCACCAAAGAACCAGCTTGTGAGGTCTCCTGACCAATAACTTTTTTAAGTGCAGCTTGTAGTAAATGAGTAGCAGTATGATGAACCTGCAAAGCACCAAATATATTTACTATAATCTTGAACAACTTGTAAGTTTGGAATTTGGAATTACGCATGACTACAATGATCTAAGGATTTATCTTTATCAAATTTTATAATGAGTAAAGATTTACAAAACTAGAAAGTAAAATGAGTAAGCTAACAGTTCTTGTACCTTAGCTCGCTGCCTCAGCTTTACATCCACTGCTGCTTCCACTTCTTTGCCAACCTCTACAACACCCTTTCGGACAGTACCCTTGTGAACAAATATGTTACCTAAAGACTTCTGAACATCTATTATCTCCACAACAGCTTTTGGTTGATTTTCACCGTCTACAATATATAGAAAACCATGATCTCCAATTTGTCCCCCTGATTCAGCATAAAATGGAGTCTTGTTCAGCAAAACTTCCACATTACTCCCTTCAACAACCTGTACAGCTGGATCACCATTTACCACTAGACTTTCTACCATTGCTTTACAATAAAGGCTGTCATATCCAATAAATTCAGTGTCAGGTATATTGTCTGCAATATTTTCCCCATTTCCGATGGTAAGTTTGACAGTGTTGTGTGCAGCTTGTGATTGACGCCTTTGCTTCTCCATCTCAATATCAAAACCATTCATATCAATACTCACACCACGTTCTTCAGCCACTTCTTTTGTTATTTCCATTGGGTATCCATATGTATCATACAAAAGAAACACATCTTCGCCAGCCAAGCAGGGTATCTTTTCATTTCTTTCGGCACTTGATAAAGCATCAGCAAGCTTCTCCTCAAGCAATTTTTCTCCTCTCTCCAGTGTCTGCACAAACCGAAGCTCCTCTCTCTTCAACTCCTCAAGGATACGGGGTGCCCTGTTCTTCACCTCAGCATCAATGTGTGTGCTTAATTCCACTACTTCCTCAGCAATAACTGGTAAAAATGCTCCTTCAAGGTCTCCTCTACCATCACCTTTTATACCAAGCAACCTGCCCGTACGAACAACCCTTCTGATAAGCCGCCGAACTACATAACCCCTCCCAACATTTGATGGGACAACTCCATCAGAGATGAGAAATACAATTGCACGCATGTGATCTCCTATAATCTAAGATAAATTGAAAAATAAAAAAGACATGACATACATTAAAAGTAATAAGGAAAGTATAGGTTGAAATCAACTATTTGAGATTGTGTTGCAGCTTGTTCGAAGATAGTCATACTCACTTTTAGATTTCTCTTTGTCTGATCATCAGAAATGCCATATGAAACATTTGCTAATTCAGAGGCCTTCTCTATGATGGGGAAAATCAAGTCAGTTTCATAGTTGTTTGGAACCTGCAGAAAACATTGAATGTATATATATATAAAAGGAACTTTTAGGAACATATGCAATGATAGTTCAAGTGCCGGACTGTAAAAATACTTTTAAAAATATAAGTGGTCACTTTTACAACAATGCAAATCAATGTATACCTTTTGAAGAATGCAAGCCATACGCTCCAGTCCAAGCCCAGTATCTATGTTCTTCTGCTTTAGAGGTTCAAGAGAACCATCATCTTTTTTGTTGTATTGCATGAATACTAGATTGTAGAACTCCATAAACCTTGTATCATCACCTAGATCCTGCATTCATCCCCCCACCCAACCCACAAAATGTGAGAAAAAGAATGTAAAATATTGTCATTGAAGTGATTTTGAATTACAAAATGTTGAACTATTTCATACTTACGGCATCTACATATCCCCTCTCAGGATGAAAATCATAATAAATTTCCGAGCAAGGACCACAGGGACCTGTCACTCCACTGGTCCAGAAGTTGTCCTCTTCACCCAACCTCTTTATACGCTCAACTGGGACACCGACCTGAACAGGAATGAAGACCATGGAAATAAACTTGGCAAAATGCTAAGTGGAAACTTCATACAGGGTTAGAACTTAAAACGATGCTTGAGGAAATCCATTTATAGCTAACCTCATCAGACCATAGCTGAAAAGCCTCATGATCATCTTGATAGACACTAACCCATAATCTGTCAGGCGGCAAACCAAACCTAAAAGTAAAAAGAAAGACATGTTAGGAGGAGGGTGAGTTGTTTTGTAAAGGCAAGATAAAGAATGGAGGAAAGGGCGCAAATATAGTTACTCTATGGTAGAAAGCTCCCACGCCCATTGAATAGCTTGTTTTTTAAAGTAATCACCAAAGCTGAAGTTTCCGAGCATCTCAAAAAAGGTATGATGTCGAGGTGTTAGACCAACATTGTGGACATCATTAGTGCGTATGCACCTTTGCGAAGTGGTAGCACAAGGTACTTGTCTTGGAACCTAAGGCGAGCGAGCGTGAGAGTAGAGTTAAGAGTGAACAGAACATATGAGATGGGGTATCGTATGGCATTCCTTAATCCTTACCTTGCCTAGGAAGATAGGCTTGAATTGAAGCATCCCTGCGATAGTGAGTAGAACAGTGGGATCATTTGGGACGAGAGACGCACTAGGAAGGACCTTGTGACCGCGACAAGCATAAAATGTCAGAAATCTATGCCTTATAGAATCCCCACTCACAGGATTATCATTCCCTGAGACTTGTTCCTGTGCCTGTGCCTGTGCCTGTGCCTGTGCCTGTGCCTGTGCCTGTGATTGTGATGATGCAGTAGCCATTGTGCGAAAGGGGAAATCGCGTCCACCATGTTGTTGTTGTTGTTGTTGTTGCTTTTTGAGAGAGAGAAATTCAGTAACGAAGCTGAAGCCAAATACTGCATAAAATACAAACAGGGTTTGCTTTTAATAAAAATAAAAATAATAATAATGGAAGCAAATAGAAGAATATAGGTCTCAACAACAACAACAAAAAAAAAAGAAATTGTAAGAAATAACGTCTAGCTGTTTTTGGGCTTTGGCGTGTGAATTTTGGACGCGGCAACACTTGTGGAAATGCTGCAACCGCCAACCCTTCCATGCCGCCACTCATATGCTTGAATGGAATGGATATTGGATAAGCCTCTTTTGTATTTGATTCAGTTTCAGCGTCCACACAGTCACCACTTGTTCAATTTTTTATGACGATACTTTAGTTTTAGCTTAAATATCAATTTATCACTACTTTTCTTATGACGTAATTATTTTTACGTTTTTATGAAAAAAAAATTATCAATATTTCAAGAGTTTTTATATTTTTATTATTTTTTTATGTTATAATTTTATATTTTATGATTTTTTTTTGCTTATATTTTTACATAAAATTTCCTTTTTAACTACTTACTAAAAATAAAATGTGTACTTTTGAAGGACACAAACTTAAGTCATTTTAAGAAAGAAATAAACACAAAAAATATAAGTCTCACTGAAAAATAAAAATATGAATCTTACTAATTTATATTTATCTCTCTTTTAAAAAAAAAAAAATTTGTGTCCATTAAACAACATTTTTCCCATCTTAAAAAGCGAATTTAATGTACTAAAAAAAAAACGAATTTCTTCTACGATCGTACGTTCAACTTATGAAGAAGAAGGAGAAGGGCCTTAGCTAGGAGGGCCCAAAATGATAAAAGAATGGTTCTCGAGGAGCAATGGCCCAGAAAGATAATACCCGCAAGCCCAACCACGATTCTGTGTCTGTGATATCAGTTGCAGTTTAAATTATCATTGAAAGCCACAGGATGAAATTGGTGCAAGTTGAGGGAACACATACCGTGAGTATGGATGTTTTGGTTCCAATGTGACTTACCATCTTATGCATGGATGTGTAGTTTTAGACTAGTGGCCAAAAGAATTGAAGTCTGTTTTGTTAATGGAAAGGCTATAAGTATGAATAAATTTCAAAGAGTGGCGCTAGTGGTCATGAAATACCAAAAGGGTGTACATTATTGAAAGTTGCTTTATGTTTAGAATTGTACTAGAATGAAGATTATTTAGCCATGGACATATACATAGGTATAAACATAGAGTTCCTTATATTCCTATATTAGGCCTCCATAGTTGTAGGCTGAACCAGCCCACTTACCCAAATTTTGGAACAACATGTGCCTTTAAAGGTCAAGAAGAGATATACTGGTATCCCAATACAGATCTTCAAAAAAAGTCAAGAAAAATTTTAAAGGTCATTGTTTTATATGTAGTTGGTTGTGATGTGTGCATTGCGCTCGGTATTATAAAAGGAACTAATCGGGTTGACGGTGTTACACCACATATCCCAAATCACTCATCGGTCCTCCCTTCCAACGGTTCTATTCTCCACTTCAATCAATCACCGATGAATATCCAATTCCAAACAATGCTCTTCTCTCTGCCAAGGCCGCACCCAGAATATGAGTATGAACAATTTTTATTTTTATTTTTGGTATATACAAAGGCCAGGGAGCCAGGAGAGAAAGAAGACTAAAATGTTACAGCATGAATATACAACATGAAGCTATTATAATCATGAAGAATAGGCACCAGATCCGAAGAAGGGTCCCTTTAGAGCTCAAACTTTTATTTCATCTTAATAGCATAGCTCCTATATATTGTTGTCGCAGCCAGTGTATGAAGATATATATAACATTATTAATGTGTAGAACCACCCTAGAGTATCTAGCATAGTAGAACCGCTTTCCAAATGTATATTTTTCCTTCCCAAGGTAAAGGACATCAAGTGCGCTTGTTCTTGCCCCATATAAACTTGCACAGCAGGCGCTCCACTTCATCACAAATGGTGATTGGGATGAGCCAAAATTGGCATTTGCATGATACAAGCTTTCATAAACGCCTGGTTAACTGCAATTGGCATCAACCTAAACCACTCCTTATTGAATCCGACCAGCGAGTGTGGAGTAGAAATAATCCTTGTACGCAGTCATATCCTTGTATAATTACAAATAAGCTATTTTTTGAATTCAAACTCATAACCTTCCAGTCATAAAAGAACAGTTTTACCACTGCTCTGATTCATCCCCTTTCAGTCATTAAATATCCACAGCTAATAGATCTAAATCGTTGGGGACTTTGAAACACAACAAACAATATCCGACAATTCCATTAACATCAGGCATGGCTTCCTTATACTTAGCTTTCTTCATGCACAGGATTACTAGTCGATATACTCACGAGATAAATCTTGCTTAAAAACCAAATCTACGTGACAGGACTTAGCTTGTCTAAGGAAAGACTTTCTCTCTCAATCATAGTAAGAAAAAGCTCTTTAAATAAAAGTGAACTTATTTCATAAGTTAACAAGAAATGATATATCCACCTTCAGGGTATTTAATGAGTTTTGATCACAATATACTTCATTTCATTAAGGGTGGATATACCCTTATTTGTCCACTTTAAAGACAAACTTACTTTAATTGAGCCTTATCCCTCGTAGTAATAGGGGAGTCATATCAAACTTCATAACAACAATGTCTTTGCATGTACAGAAAGTCAAACTTATATCCTGCCAACTGAGGAATCACAATAAGAAAGGAAAAGAAGCCTATGATAACATGTGAAGAGGGACATGCAAATTCTGTAGGTCAGGAACTATAGTATTTATGAACTACAAATGGCTCCGCCACACCATGAAGATGCCCAATACAAGCTGTCATGAAATGTCATTACAACTCTGCTTTCAGTTACAGGCCCGCTGCTGTTGATCATTCACTCAGCAATCTGCCCATAACGCAACAGGGTAAACTACTTTAAGTTCTAAAATAATTACGTGGTTTTGTAACGAACACATAAAATCATGAAAACCTTGTGCCCACAATTACAAAATCAACTCACTACTAGAAACCTAAAAGATAAAATTGAGATTCTGAACTCTGAAGCATCTAAAAGACCATGGCTAAGAAAATGAATTATTACTCACTTGATTAAGTGGATTGTCAGGAGATTTCTTCCATAGCTTCCATATCATGTCCTTGTATTGAGTGTGAGTAAGGCCTGGTTTTTCTTCCTTTAACTTAGGGAGCTCAGCTTCTTCAAATGCCTGCATCGTAGTGAAATTGAAGTAGTTAGTTCCAGATAGTGGCCCGGAGTGGCCAATACCTTAAAAGCTATAGCAATGAAGCAGATGACATAGTGGCCACTCCATCCAATATAGCAGATAAAGAGGAAATAAATTCTAATACACACATAATAGATGCTCAAAACTTTAAAACATATTCATCATTAATACTTGAAAGTCATAGCGTAAAGAGACAATCATCATTAATCTAAAGCATAACTAATTACAATAAGTCAATAACAAAGGCCGCGGAGTAGAATCTCGTCAAACAGAGGCTGGGGAAGCTGCCAAAAATAGAGAACCTCCAACTCAGGTTCCAACAGAAGCAGTGAAAATCATAGTTGTTAAAAAATACTCCCCATTAGACCCCAACTAGTGAGGGTGGGGTGAGAGGAATCTTTATATGCAGTCTTATCCTTGCATCTTTGCAAAGAAGCTATTTCCTGGATTTGAACCCGTGACTTTTCAGTCACAAAGAAATAGCTTTACCATTGCTCCAAGATCACCCTTTGAAAGCATAGTTGATAGTGTCACACAATTCTATACAAGTTGACAAGTTAGAAATTTGTAACACATGATAAATTGGAGATGACTTTGAATTGTGTGATACATAAATCATGCATGACTAGGCACAATTTCATATACATAGTTATCAAATGTGGATTGCAGCCTATCGCGGCCAACCTTGAAAAACACAATAGCGCTATAGCAGGTTGCGATTACAAAAATAGCGAAACAAATCAATAGAACCTAGATATACCACATATATATGCTAAAAAATAAAGACATTCATGCATAGTGAAAAATTGTTCCAAAACAAACAAGGAAGAGAGCAAGAGAGCGAGAGGGGCAGAGACAACTGAGAGAGAGCAGAGATGTGCGAAAGAGGTAGAGACATGTGACAAAGAGCAATAAAGGTAGAGAGAGTGGGTTAGGGTTAAACAAAAAAAAAGACTAAAAAACCCTTCAAATATTTCTGTTAGACATTTAAAATGAGGGCAAAATTGACATTTTGCCTTATGACACTGTTGCACTGCGATTTGGCCACGTTTTGGCTGCAAATGCAATTGCAACGGCCGCTATTGCAATCTGGTGCAGCATGGCATGAATGGTTACGACGAAGCTCCACAAAGCGTAACCGGCGTATTGCGCTACAATTGACTACCATGATCATATATCGGTTTTGAATTGCACTATTCAACGATTCTTTAAAAAAAATTTCCTCTTTTTGCTTTTCTTTCATTAATTCTCATAAAAGAAATAGAAAAGTCAAATAAGCTAATTGTTTAAAAAAAGGAACTAAAGGAGCATTATTGAATGCACTCTATTTGACTATTCCATTCCTTGTTTCCAATCTTCTGAAAAGCAGTCAATGCATCCTATTTAGTCATTCAATTGCTTTGTTTTCATTCTTATAGCTTCACACAATCACTCACTCCTTTTATATGCACCTTATTTGGCTATATCATTGCCCTGTTATGGTTCTTCTAGAACATAGGCTTCATAAAGTCACTTTACGTGACTCAGCTTTTACTTATGACTTTGTTTCCTGAGACTTGTGGTTAAGTTATTTTGTTGATTTCTAATTTAAAATTATTAAATTGAGCATTATACATTATGAATCTTACATTTTGATAGGGTTCTTGATTGAATTGTGATTTAATAACCTTGGTGATGATGGGCGGAGTTTGGCCACAAAATGCAAGGGCTGCAGAACAGAGACATGCAAACAGCATATTTCATGTGTGATTGGGTTAGAAAACAGGAGGAACTAACCCTAAAACACGAGTTAAGGAGACAAATAAACCCCTCAATTGAATGTAAGGTGAGAGTTTAGCATAGACAAAACGGGGATTTTGTCCACGAGAAGAATTGATTCCGATCAGCCATTATCACAGCCGCAAGGCCTGCAAATCATGCAACACTAAAACACCATGGCAAAATCTACCCAGAGTGACAAAAATAAGCATCATCTCAAGGGTAAAACTCAAGATAAAGTAGCAAAGGCACCAGGAATATTGTTACAAAGTGCTGGGAAGATCGATAGACAGAAGTTTTAGAGTAAAAAATACCCAGAGTGACGAGTGTCGAGAAATGCAGCACCTATATAGAGCAAAGTGTATTGGAAGCAACAAGAAGAGTGAGAGAGTACCTTGAAGGAGGCCTTGAGGCGCCTCTCGGGATGCCTATCGGGGGGCAAGCTATCAGAGGCGATGGTCATCTGAGAGATGGCATCCTCCACAGTTCTTGCTTCGATGATGGTGTCGTCCCTATTAGTATTCGATACAAGCACCATTCTCTCGTACTCCTCCTCCGCAGCAGTTCGACTCTGCCGCTTCTTACCCTCCTCGGCCTTCTTTTGAGCCTCCGCCTCCGCCTCCTCCCGCTGCCTCCTAAGTTCTGCCTCCGTCACCTTCGGCACGGGGATGGACACCCGGGCTGCCTTCTTATCCGGCTTTTTCATGGACTTCTCCAGCTCCTTCTCCTCCAACTCCGCCAATCGACGCGCCTCCGCTCGACGTGCGGCTGCCTCCGCCCTCTTCTCGGCCTCTTCCTCGCGCTTCTTGGCGGCGCGTGACTTGGAACCCTCGGCATCGCGCCAGTACTGTTCCTCCTTGTCTCGAGTCTCGCGCTCCTTTCGCTCCTCTTCCACGGAGCTCTTACGAGCCCTGGCCGCCTCAGCCTTCGTGTTCACCCCCATCTTTTTAGGCATCGCTCTTCTCGATCTCGATGGATTCTGGTTCTGGTTCTGGAACTCCAATCCAAGAAACCGCCTCACAGACACAGAAGCAGATACACCTCATCATCTTCCATTTTCAATCTTTAATCTTTAATTTTAAGCTAGCAAGCTAACACGATTATTCATGGGCCTCAGCCCATTTCCCAATTACAAACCGCTATCTCAAAATCCAAAATTCAAAGAGGATCCATTTCCATTTTGGGCTACAGAAGATAGGATAGGATAGGATGACTTATATCCTACTTTTATCACTTATTTAGTTTTGGTGGGTTAATAGGATATGATTAACTTATCCTATTGTCTCATTTTATCTTATTCAATACATGATTTCTTATCCTACAGTGAGAGCTGAGTTAGGATTCAACAGGATAGGATATCAATATTTGATACTCAATATATTCTCATGCTACCTTATATATATATTTTTCTCTCTCCTCTCTCTTTCTACATAATCTTATCAGATTGTTAATCAGGTGCTCATCAAACACAAGACATGATATCGGCTTATCAGCCTCATATCATATCCTACCCGTATCAATCCCATATCATGTCCTACGCTTATCCTATTCTGTCCACCAAACGAGCTCTTTATTAATATATATTGATAGGATAGGATAAGATGTGTATTAAATTAAAGAGTAAAGCTAATTTTTCTCTCTAACAAAAAAACACTATCCACACTTTAGTTCTTTGTAAAAAAAATTAGTTGCTTCTTCCTATAAAATTTATAATGGATCCATTTTAATTTTTTTGAGAGATTAATATGGGTCTTTTTTGAATTTGTGAGGACTACGATTTCAACTAATTAAGTCCACTTTGAATTTCTTAAGTACCTCAAGATTAATTTTATTTTTTAAACGACTAAAGTAAAGACCGTAATTTTTGTTAGAAATTCAAAAGGGGCTTTACTCTAAATTAAAAAAGATATTTTAATTTTTTTCCATCAAAATTTATCAACTCAATTACAAATTATGGGTATGTTTTATTCTGTTTTAAAATATAGTTATGGAAAAAGATATTTTTTGTGTTTTTTTATTTTTAAAGTTAAAAGTTAAAAATCAAAATACAAAATAAAAATAACTCAAAAATATTTTCTAAATTTGATTTAAAAAAAAACCGTTACAGTTTTTGAAATTCTAAATTTAATATCTCAGCTTTTTCATTCTTTAACCAGTGGTTTTAGCTTTATGCTTCGATCTTCTCTCATAAAATATGAAATAATGTGAAGAAATTTCAGCAATAAGAATTAATTTATATATTGATGATTAAAATCCTCTCGCAAAATTAGAAAAATCGTGGAAATTTATGCATGCGGCTCATTCTTCAAGCACGGGTAAGAGGTGTCCAGTCCAGAGTGAAAATCGTGAAGATCATACTCCCGTTCCACCATCTCCATCAATTGCTACTCCCATGGCGGTTAGTCCTATGCAAGCAAATCAACATGATCAGGAAAATGGGATGAAAGCAGATAGCACTTTGAACCAGAATCAAGAGCAGTTATATGACACATTTCATAAAACTGGTCCTGATATATCAGTTGACAACAGCAGCGACATCCAAAATCCTGAAACCTCAACCATCTCTACGTGCATGGAGGTGGACAGAGTTCACCAGGAAGATATTTCAAGAATGAAGGATGCAAGAACCTTGGAGTCTTGCGTTCAACATAGTTTTTAATGAATTTATTCTTCTGAAACTGTAGGGGAGCAGTGAAACCCCAGTTTCAAAATTCGCTTTTTCTGTTTACTAGGAAATATAAGCCTAGTATTGTAGTGATTCTAGAACCTCGGTGTAGTGGTCAAAAAGCTTCTGACATTATCCGAAAATCTGGGTTTAAGCATGCTTTTGTTCAAGAGGCAGAAGGTTACTCAGGGGGTATTTGGATCCTCTGGAATGATGAGACTGGTCTCGTTGAAATTATTAATCACACAAAACAGTTTGTTCATTTTAAAGTTCAGAATTTTCATGTTCCTTCCTTTTCTTGCACGGCAGTTTATGCGAGTCCTAGGGAAGAAAATAGAAAGGAGCTATGGGATGATCTGCTAAACATTAGTCTCCATTGTAATGGGCCGTGGTTGGTGGCTGGGGATTTTAATGAAATAGCAAATCGGGATGAGAAGAAAGGTGGCTGTAGAGTTAACTTAAACAGATGTTCCAATTTTGCAAATGTTCTTCATAATTGCAAGCTGCTGGATCTTGGAGGATCAGGTCCTTGGTTTACATGGAAGGGTCCGAAGTTTCTTCATCTTGATCGTGTTTTTAAGAGGCTGGACCGAGCCTGTGCTAATGCAAGTTGGAAGACTACCTTTACTGATGCTGGCGTTAAGGTACTTCCACGGATTTATTCTGATCATAGTCCCATTTTGGTCTACTTGTCTAACTTGGACACAGGTTGGAAAAATCGTCCCTTTCGCTTTGAGATTGCTTGGATGGAGCATTATAACTTTACTCAGTTTCTGGCTAGGAGCTGGAATGTTGTGAAAGACACTAGAACGAATCTGCATGATCTGACTCCAAATTTAAAAAGATGGAACAAGATAGTCTTTGGCAACATTTTCAATAGGAAGACTAACCTATTGCATAGTATTGCAGAAATTCAGAATCAAGTTGATTATCATACCAACTTATCTCTCCAATCTAGAGAAAAGGAGGTTAGGAAGGACCTTGATGCGGTTCTCATACAAGAAGAGATCTTATGGTTTCAAAAAGCCAGGGTGAAATGGATAAATGATGAGGATAGAAACACCAAATTCTATCACATTAAAACAGCTACTCGAAGAAGTTCGAATAGGATTCTTGAGTTAAAAAATTCTGATGGGATTTGGGTGAAGGAAGCTAGACAACTTCATCAATTGGTAACAGATTTCTATAGCAACTTGTTTAGTGAGGAAGTCCTTAATCGTGATTGGGTGAAATCAAAGACTACTTGGCCCCTTCTGCACGATGATCTGCTATCTAATTTGACTCGTAATCTTTCGGATGACGAAATTTCAAAAGCTGTTTTTAGTATCAATGGGTCAAAAGCTCCAGGGGAAGATGGTTTTCCAGCTGCCTTTTTTCATAAGAATTGGAGTCTTATTAAGACTAATGTTATTAAGGATGTTAACATGATGTTTCAGAATCCCAATCTGATTCACCTTGTGAACTCGACTCTTCTGGTCCTCATTCCTAAAGTAAAGAGACCTGAAAGTGCTAAGCAGCTCAAACCAATCTCTTTGTGCAATGTCATTTATAAAATCCTCAGTAAAATTCTGGTTGACAGAATGAAGCCCCTAATGGAAGAGATGGTGTCTCCCTTCCAAGCTAGTTTTGTTCCTAAACGACATATCCAGGACAACATCATCATCACCCAAGAGCTGATCCATTCAAATGAGAGGAAGAAAGTGTTTCATGGCAATTAAAATCGACTTGGAAAAGGCTTATGATATGTTAAATTGGGAGTTTGTTCGTAAAATTTTGGATGAAATTCAAATCCCACACTGGTTCACAAATATTATCATGAATTGTATCAACTCTGATAATGTCTCAGTGCTTTGGAATGGAGCCATTGCAGGTGACTTCCTTCCTTCAAGAGGAGTTCGTCAGGGTGATCCTTTATCTCCCTACATTTTTGTTCTAGCCATGGAAAAATTGTC